AAGACTTGCAATAATGACATTTGTTTTGTTATTTAATACCTCTTTAAATCCATTTAACTCAAAATCAGTTTCACTAATAACCATTGCAGCATCTGGTAATACCCACATTTTTGTTTCTAGTATTTTTGGAAATCGTTTCCAAGTGTCAAATAATTCTTCCATATACATATTACTAATAATTGTATCAATACCACCTAAATTTTCCATATCTGGCATTTTTTCACCATAACGAATACCAAGAAGTGCAATACTCTTTTCATTACATAATTTATTTACTCTAAAATATCCTGAATTTCCACTTGGATCATTTGTATAAATCATTGCAACTTTTTTCTTTTTAAAAGAATGAATAAATTCAATAATTGATTGATATGATGCTGAGTCAACTGGAATTGTTCTCATAAAATTAGGATAATCATCTTTATTAGAAAGAGTATCTGAAGTTGCTGAATTACTGATTATTGGTATTTCTTTACCTTTTTGCTTGAATACATATGAATCTTGGCATATAACTAATTCACTAGTAGTGGAAGTAATAGTATCACCAATGATTGCATAATTTATTCCATCTTTCATCATCTGGTCATGAATAGTATGGACTGTGGAAATATTATTTGTGTCTGGATGATACGCATGTAATGTAACAGAAATACCAAGCTTTTTAAAGGTATAATCAATAATATCAAAATAAGTTTTATTATAAATAATGTCCTCAGGCAAATTACTGATACTAACTGCAACATGGTTTTGGGCAAAACTGAAATTGAACAATAAAAATATAATTAAAGTAAACTCTCTAATATTCATTTAGTAATTCTGATTTAGAGATTAATTTAAAATAGTATCATTTAGAAACACAAATAAAAAATTTATATTGTTTTTCTATTTTTAAAAACAAAAAATCTTAAAAAATGTTATTTAATCAAGGAAAAAACAAAATAATTGAAAAAAATAAAGAAAACTGAAAAAAACATTAAGATGGTTTGTTTTGATTTTGAGTGAAAGAAAAGTTTTAAAATTTAGAACTAATGAAATAGGATCGAAGAAACATCGAACTGAAGAAAAAACAATTGTTAGAAAAAAGGGCTGCCAAAAAAAAAGAAATACAAAAACGAAAAGAAGAGTTACAATCAAATGCTGGTTTACAAAGTCAATTTTTTGATCAGTTAATTGCCCGTGTACAACAACCAACATTTTTAACTTCTACTGTTGATATGAATTTAGTTAGTTGTTATGTTGAAATATTAAAAGATACTAAAGAGCTTAACAAAGTTCAATATGAATTCTTAGCACCTTTTTTACCAGTAATTTCATGGCAACTAGCACATGTAGATTTATCATGGAGTTTAACACAACCACAAAATAATTATCAACAATTAGAACATATTACAACAGAAATTTTACGATATTCATGTAAGATTATTAAATCAATTAATTCAGGTAAAATAAAAGAAAATCTTAATGATGGGATTAATAATTATTATATCTTTAAACAAATTCAAGTTGCTGTTAGTATATTATGTGGTTATTCAGAAGACTTTTCATATATTGAAGTTATGAAATTATTTACTGATCATCAAAATATTTGTTATCCATTATTTGCTGTTTCTCAAGAAACTACTGATATTATGCAAATAGCTGTTGAGGGTGTTCTTCATGAAACAATTCCTGTTGCTATGAAAGCAAGAATTCCAGATGCATTACCACAAATGAACACAATTTCATTAAAAAGTCTTCTTCATGGGGCTGTAGCCTCAGGAGATATAATGAGTAAAAGTGAAATGGAAGAAAAAGGAAAAAACGTATTTGGTAAATTAGTTGAAGAAAATCAAACAATTTTTAATTGGGAATTATTATCAATTGGAGCTATTCTTCAATATTGTCAGATGATTCTTGAACAAGTAGATATGAATATAGAACATGTTGATGAGGTTATTCATGAACAACGAGTTGGAAGGTCATTGAGATTAGTAAGAAGTGTATTAAATTTCATTAGAAAATTTGAAACAATTGAACCCACTTGTGTTGGTGATATTGTTACATTAGCAAATGTATTAGTAACAATGCACGAACATTTATGTCAAACAACTATTTCATGTCACACATATTGTGATTATCTTTGTGAATGTTTATTTAATCTATCACTTATTTTAAAAGAACATATTGGTAATCCTGTTGTCTATGTAAATTTAGAAGCATATATTGCTGCACGTTTATTTGGATCTTTATTTTCTAAAGACCAAACACTAACTCGAATTATTGAAATGGTTCAAAACAAAGATGAAATACCACTCCCTTGTTTACATTCAACAGCACTAGCACTTACTTTTTCTAGAGATATTTTCTCTCGTCTTCAATCTAATTTGACTACTGTTGTTGATGTATCAAGTTATAAAAATTATTCAAGGATTAGTTGTCAACTTGAGGTTTATACATACAAATTTGATGCTTTTGCTGTTCAGACGTTTGAATATTTAACAGAATTAATTCTTTCACCAAATGGAGTATTTTTGGATACTTTATTTTCACTATTATTAACTTCATTTATTGGTATTGGTTATGAAGAAGCTAAAGAAAAAATTCGATTAATGAAATTTGATCGAGATGAGACAATGAAAACATATCAAAAATATGATGTAGATTATGAATTAACTCGTATTGTTCCATTATATCTTGCTGTTCATATCTTTGCTGAATCCCCTTGTAAAGCATTAAGAGTATATGTCAAACAATATTTTTCAAGACAACATATGGATTCACTATGGATGATTATTATTGCACAATCACCAAGAGTTTCATTAAATAATGATAATAAACCACCATTTGGACCATTAATATCTGATGCAGAATCAATCACCAATTTGCGTGTATTGTTGAAACAGTTAGTTAATAACAGACATATCACAGATACAAATCTTCAAATTCTTCTTGAAAAAAGAAGAGATAATTATCCTTTAGTTGTTCCAGTTGAACTTGCTGTCTTTACTGCTCGTTTATGGATTCACAGAATAAGTTATACTAACATTATTGAAGGAAAAGATGATCCTGTTGCTTTAAAAGAATGGGATGTTTTTCTTAATGCATTAGAACGATTAATTGCTTCAACCGATGAGTGGAAAGGAGAAGAGTGTATTGGTTATGAAACAGTATGTATGATGTTGTTTATCTTTCATAATTTAAGTAGAGTATCAAGAATTACTTATATGAGAAAATTATTTAAAATGCTCCAAAACATACCACCAAAATTAACTGCAAAAGGAATTGTTGGATTGACAAGAGCACTGTTAATACTTGATTATATGTTAAGATATCACAATGACTTTTCTGCAGATTTGTTAAATGAAATTAAAAATGCATTGTTATCAAGATCATTCGAAGAACATGGAGATTTAGTACATGACACTTGTATTATTCCTGCTTTTATTGAAAAATTAAATTATTCTGATGCACTAGCATCATTTGCAGTAGAAACACATGACAACATTCCACCACCTAATGGATATATTAGATTTTATGGATTTACTAAATATTCAAATTATGATAATTATCTTAGTGATTTAAGACTTGGAATGCATTATCCACTTGGTTCAGTTGTTATGCTCACAAACACTACTGATTATTCAAAAACATATGAACATTTATTAGGGTTATTAAGAGATTGTGTTGTTGAACCACCAAAGAATCCAACACTTCAAAGTGCAACATTTATTCTTGGAGAATACTATTTTAATTCATTGTGGATGATTATGTGCTTATTACCACCACCTCAATCATTCATTGATCAATTCAAAGATAAACGCCTTTTTGAAAAATTACCTATAGGAAATTTATTATTACACTATGTTAATTGGATGACAAATCTATGTTATTTAACTGATAAACAACGTTCTAAATTTTATAAAGAGGTTGATATTTCAAGTATGAGGATTAAAAATCATATTCAGGCATTAGTTGAAATACTTCAAAAGATTAAATCTCAACAAGACAGTAACAAATTAGTTCGTATCGATGCTATTGTAGAAACAATTATTCAATTTATTACATGTGCAACATTAAATGGTAAATATCTTGATTTGTACCGAACTCAATTAGCTTTAAGAAAGGAAAAACACGAAGAAGCTCTTAAAGTTGAAAAATTAACTCAAACAGAAGAAGACAAAAAGAAATTTGAAAAGGCTATAAAAGAAATGAAAGAAGAAGAAGAAAAAAAGAAGTTTGCTAAAGAAGAAAAGAAAAAAGTTCAAAATGATTTAAAGAAACTTGCTAAAGAAGAAAAAGAAATCAGAAATGAAAGTATATTAAAAGGATTAAAAGGTTTATTAAAGAAGGATTTAAAGAGTAATAAAAATGAAGATATTGCTGTAGAAGCTTTAGAAACAAAAGTACTTGAAAGTGATGCAAGAAGAAAAAGAAAATTGTTAAAGAAAAGAGAAGAATGGTCACAACCCATTGATGCACCTGAAAAATTAAATGAAGGAGTAAGAGATATTATTTTCAAATCACCTAAAGAATTCTTTGAAATTTGTGGTGCATTATTAGAAAAATATGTAAATTGTATTAAAACTCAACAATTGGGAGGAATCATTGGTCTAGATAGAGGAATTATTGTTGATACAATGAGAGGTAATAATGTAAATTGGAAGAAAGATGCCATTATCAATGTATTATTTGAAGGTGTACAACAAGAGTCATTAAATAAATATATTAGTTCTATGGTCTTAACTGATGAAACAATTCACTTTATTACAGACAAATGGGGGACTAAATTATATTTATGGGAAGATGAATTTTATCATCCATTACAACATATTCTTGATGCCTCAGTCAGTTGTCCTATTAGGCTATGTGATAGGGCTTATTTTGCTACAGTATCTTCAACTCAAAAAATTGTTAAATCTATTATCACTTTATCAACCTTAATCTCTATCCAAGCAAATGTTAAAAACAACTTTGAATCTACTTCATTGATGAATACATTACTGATGATTATTCCTGATAAAGGATTTAAATATACACAAGAAAGGGCCATTGAATTAGCATTAAGAATTGGAGGAGAACAAACATCACCAATTTTAATTGAAGAGTCTAAACTATTCCGAGGAGATCAATTCCTAAACTTTATTCTGCAAAGAGAGAAAGTTGATGATGGAACAGTTGGGTGTGTAACTAACTGTTTAGATGTGATGGAACAAGCAGTAAAACAAATCAAACAAAAAGTGAAGAAAGTCGATTACTATTTGACTAAGACAAGACAATTTGGAGATTCGGATATGAAACTATATTTATTAGTTGGTGGTAAAGTAAAAGACAAAGTAGTTTTAAGACGAATAGAAGAATATTTACAAACATTAATAGAAGGAGATGAAGAAATGAAAAAGAAATTTTCTAGTGCAATGAAAGGATGGAAAAATCCAGCGTTCGGAGAATGGTGTATTCAAAAGATTATTGGAACAGAAGAAAACAAGAAATTTGTTGAAAGTGGTGAGAAAGAAAGTAATGAGTTATTTGATTTCTTTGAAACAGTTATGGGGAAAGAAGAAACTGTCAAAAAAGATATATTAGAGAAGTTAATTGAATCGGTCCCATTAGTTGTTGAAAGTAATGGACAATATATCAAGAAATACTTTAGAACAATTTTTAATTATGTTTCTCAACAAAAAGAAGGAAAGATCATTGTTAATGGTATCATGAAATGGTTTGAATCTATTACAATTGAAAAGGCCAAATCATTAAAAGATTGTGAACCGTTCAGTGAATTATTAAGAATGATTTATTATTTATTCTGTCAAATTAAAGATTCTTCAAGAAGAACTGGTGATATGAATTATATTTCAGAAATTACTCCAAAACCATTCCAATGTAGTAAAGAGTTAGTTGGACCAAAACCATTTTTGCAAAAGATGTTTTCTGTTGGTGAACATTCTAAAAAGAAATATCTTTGTGTTGATTGTAGTAAATATTGTGTTGAACGAGGAGTTGATGTAGATTATGTTGGAATGGTTGAAAAATCTTGTGAGTGTGAAGATTGTAAATGTAGAAAGCCTATTGTAGTTGATAATAGAGAAACACTTTGTATTGAAAAAACAACAAATAGAGAAATGGCAAGATTATTTGAAATAGATATTGGTTGTAAAAAGAGTGAAGTCCAATTAGACAATATTGTGTCTAAGGCTATTGAAGCAGCCATTAGAGATGATAATAAGTTAGGAGAACAAATATTTAATTTCTTTGTTAATATGTCTCATTACATGTTTAGAGCATCTGTTGATGAAATCTCATTTTATGATGGGTTATTTAATAATTCTGAAATTCGAGTTATTAAAACTAATGAAAGATATCTTTCTAAAGAATTAATTACAAAAGAACAGCTACAATTAAATAATATTGATGAAGTTGAAGATGAATTTTTTATTTCTGAACAAAACATTCTCTCATATGATGGAATAAATAGACTATATAGAGTTGTGGATGAGGCAAATATATTTAGAGGATCAGAAAGTTTCTCAGTTGAATATGCCATTCGTTCTATTAAAGTCCATAAGTATTCTGATGGAATTCTTCTTTTATCTTCAATGAATAATGTTGACTTGTTAGTTTTTGATGAAGAAAAATTAATTTCTATTGTTAATGAATCAGAAGATACAATCATCCATAAAATTCAATGGCTTGGAACTACAAATGAGTTTGCTGTTTTTACTGATAAATTTGTTAGAATTGGTAAATATGAGAATGGAACAATTATCACCGAAGAATATTCTATTGATTCTATTATTTATAGTGGAGTTATATTGGCATATACTGACAAGCAATATGTATTAATTGTTTCTAATCAAAATGGAGAATTATTTGTTCATATTGTTGATAGACCATTAGTACCAGGAAGGTTTAAAATATTAAACAAGCATATCAATCTTAATATGACTAAAAGAGAAACTATTATATCTATGGATTATTTAGTAGATATTGATGCAATTGCATTAAGTACAACAAAACATTGCATCATCAGTAAATTTGATTCTTGTAATTATTCTCTTTCTCAATACTTTATTATCTCACATTTCTCACCTACTTGCTGGGTTAAATTGCCTAATAAACGTTCATTCTATATGACTTACTCACAGAAAAGTTATGACCTTCGATACGTTACATTCAAAAAAGAGCATATTGAGTTGGACGATATTTTACATAGACCTATTGGTGGTATCGCACTTGAGCCCAGGGTTGGATCAATTTCAATTGCAGTATTTAATGAAGGAGCTCGTTCTATTGACTATATCTCTGAAACTACTACTGAGGTTACTAGTGTCAAAGGAACTGATTGTGACATTACTAAATTAGCATTTGTTCAAAGTAAATACGAGACTGATAACACTTTCAATATTGTTAATGGAAAGAAAATATATTATAACCGCTTGATTATCACTAATTTGAATAAAGATATGGTTATTAAAGTTATCAGATTACATTTCAAAGCTGATACTATTCCAATCAAAATATTGGTTAAAGGAAGAGAAGTTACTTTACATAATAGAGGAAATATTCTTACAATTCCATTGATGAACAAAGAAGTTGTAGTTACTGATCCTAAAATTGATCTTACATTACTTGATTGTATAGTTGCTGAACATCTTTCATATCCTTCAAAAGTTGAAGCATTTGGTATTTCCAAAAACGTTATTGGATTCAATGAATTAAGAATGAAAGCAGGATTAAGAGAAGAGGGAGAACAACTTCCACTGATTATGCCAATCCATCATATTTGTAATACTACATTAATGTTACTTCTTAGATATTTTGAATTAAATATGAATAAACAAACACAGAAATTTATTAATGATGTCAATGAAACAATGATAGAAAAAATATTTGATCCTGTTAATGCTTTTGTACATGACTCTTTAATGCAAATATTGAGATACTTATCTCCTTCAATTGCAGAATTAAAACAAAATATTATTTCATTATTAATTAAAGAATTAAAGAGTATTACTCCACGACACGCATATAGATTACTTTCAGTGTTTTTATTAAAAGCAGTAAGTATTATGAATGAACAGCCAAGTGCATTTAAAACAGAAGATGCACAAAATGCAATGATTAATTTTATAGAAAAAATTCTTCTTCATATTCAAAGTGCATCAGAAAATAGAGGTAGTATGGTTTATCAATGTTGTAAATTATTTGTTCATTTGTTAGAAATTCGAGACTGTAATACAGTTATGTCTAATGTATTAATTAATTATCTTAGTGATGAACGATATGGAATTGTTGCTTTAGACGCATTGTGTAATGAAATAATTAAACCCATAGAATTTAATCAATTTAAAGAAAAAATGTCCTTAAAATTAAAACCATTATCAGAAGTTAATCGTAAAATCATTTTATCAATTATTTCACAACAAGCTCCAACTGATCCTCAAGTATTTTTACGTATTTGTCAATTAATTTATGTTTGTTTAACTACTCAACCTATTGATAATCCAAATTCTGATTTATTAAATAACTTGGTACATTATCTTATTAAACAAATGAAAATGTTTAATACCAATCCACTTATTGCTTTTCATTCCTTTGAATTAATTAGAGCTCTTATTAAATCATTTAATGGTAAAACATATGATTCATTTGTGGACTCACTAAGGAGTTTTGGAGAGCCTAATTTCTTTAAAGGTAATTTATTAATACCAAGTGTTTCTTTAAGTCAAATTATTTGTCAACAAATGGACTGTAAGAGTATTGAAGATATTCTTCATGATATGATTGGTAAAGAGATTAGTTTAGTACCAAAGAATGAAATTACTATTATGTATAAAGGTAAGCACCATGCCATTCCATTGTATAAAACAAAAGAAATGAAAGCAGTTGATTTAACTATTGATATTCTTCAAACTCTATTTTATTTACAAGTAAGTTATAGAACAAATAAGATGCCATTATTAAATGGAGATAAATGGAAAGGAGTTTTAGAAGCAATTATTCAGCTAGAAACACAAGGAAATATTCCACGAGGTGTCGTTTCAAAGCAATTACTGTATGAGTTATCAGGAAGTTCATATTTATACCATCAAGCTACTGACAAGAAAAAATATGAAAGAGTGACTAAATTACTTGAAGGAAAAGAGAGAAAAGAAATTACTGAATTCCTTGTTAAAACAGCAAAAATATCAAGAAAAAGACCATCCCATTGGCAGAAATTTGCTTTAGAAAATAAGGATGTTATTCAATTGTTATTGAAATGGATTAAATCAGAAGTAAATGAAATTGTATTACCTGCTGTCCAAATGACTCAATCACTTATTGTTGATGAAGTTAAAGCAAAAGACAGTATCTCAGAGACTGAGTTATTTGAAATAGAACTTATTAACAAAGAATTAAAACAAATGAGTGATTTAAGAAAGAAGGTATCAGACGAAATCATTAATACAAAAGGTATTGGAGATATCATCAGAATGACCGCTTATGACAAGTGTCAAGAGGTAAGAGAATTACTTGAAAAAATGTTTAAAATAATTTATCGTGATTCATACGAAACTACTCAAAAGAAACTTTGGGGATATTTCTGTGGAGTTTTAGAACACCCTCAAGCTGATGTATTAAATGAAGAGTTTATCTCAACAATGAAAACATTTTCTTTCATCACTGAGACTCATGAAAGAAAGGTAACAGTCCCTCTCGTGTTATAGAACAAATCACTAACTCATCTCTTTTTTTATCTGTTTATAGCTTTTTTTTGTCAGTTATCAATTTATTTAATAAGCAGATAACTCTATCAAGGAAATGTGTAGGTATGTGGATGGTCGTATTCATTAAAATGAAAAGGAACTCAAAATTAATTACTTACTAACACTAGAATGACAGAACCTATAACTCCACGCCGAAAAAGAAGACTTTCTGATATATTTCGATTACCAAAGAAAGAATCAAGAGAAGATGATAGTTCTTCTAAGTATAAATATGGTAAAAAGTCTATTCTCTTTATTGGTGATCTTGTTGCTGATAAAAATGAATTGGTAAATACTTATTTAAATGGAAAGTATTTAGCTGGAAAACCTCAGAAAGTTGATGATGAAGTTATTGTTAAAAGACTTGACGATGAAGGTAAATGTAAAGTTGTTATTATGACATGTGAGGGAGAGGAAAATTACCCTGGTAATAGAAAAAAGCTATATGAAGGAAGAAATGTTGTGGTGTTGACTTATGCTGTAGATAATTTAGAGTCTTTTAAAAATATCGAAGAACTTTGGCTACCAGAAGTTGCCTTTTATGATGAAGGAGCCTACCTTGGTTTAATTGGTACACACAGTGAATCTGATGCTGTTGTTACTCAAGAAGAAGTTTTACAATTTGCCAAAAATAATAATATTCCATTTGTTGCTGAAGTTTCAGCAAAAAATTATTCAAACGTAGATGAAGCTTTTTTTGATTTGATAATAAAAGCAGTAAATGCAGATTTCGAAAAGAAAGGATTGCCCTTAATTAAATAACATTACCTTTTGGTTGTGTTTTATTGTATAACTAAAATGTAAAAGACTGAAATTAAATCAATCTAATTATTTTAATAATTAATAATTAATTTTATTCTTTACTCCACATATTTAGCTTACTCTCTTTGTTCTATATATTTAATGACTTGTTTTTATTATCTTTATATTTGGTTATCTTTTATATCCTAGCTTTATTTTTCTTTCAACTTTTCATATTTAACTTCTTTATGTCCCCTTATTTTCTGTTATTTATTAAACAATTAATTTTGTTATTCATTTTACATTATTTTATTGTTGTAATAATTTGTTTATTTTTGAACACTTTCATACACTCTGAATAAAGGTTATCATTTTTTATTATATTTTGTTATAACTATTCTTGTTGTTGTCTTATCTTTATTAAGTTAATTGTATTGTGCTATATTTAATTCAAAACCGAAGTTGTTATTATCATTAAAATTGTATTATATGTAGTTTTCTCTTTAGTCTTCCAGTTTAGCCATTCTCAATAAATTTCTGAGTTTTTTAATGACCTTGCCTTCACAATAATTTATTATATTTTTCTAATAAACGTTAATACTTTTTATTTCTCATAAAAAAAATTCTATTCACAGATTCGTTTTTATTACATTGTTATTTTCAGTAACAAATTGTTTGTCCTTCTTCGTTTTAAGTTGTTTTGATTACGTTTTATTAAATTATATTTTTCGAAGTTCATTGATTTAGAGATTTAGATTTCTTTTGTAAGTTGTTTTATAAGTTATATCGAGTTAGAGATTTTTTGAAGTGAGTAGAATTTGCAAACTTTTTGTTACCCAACTTTATTCCTGTGTCGTTTTTAAACATTGACAAATAATACATTATAACAATATAAATAATACATTGATAAAATAATGTCTTGTGTTTCAATAAAACATTAAATATAGTTTAAAAAGAATTAGTTTTTATTTGTAAAAAGATATCGTAATTTATTTATTGTTATTCTTTATTATTTTTTTGGAGGTAGATAACTTATTTTGATTTGTGGTAAATGTTTTAAGAAACAAGTTAACTCAACTCTAGATATATTACCTTATAAAATCTTTTTAGAATTAGCTGTATGAAATAAAAAGATAACAATTAATAGATATATCCACAATTGGATTATGATTATTGAGAATGATTATTTTAGTGATTTTAATATACTCTTCTTCTATCATAGAATTCATTTCAAATGTCTGAGAATTAGAATTTCTTTCTTCTAATGTGCTACCAGTGTTTCCTGTGTAGGGTATTAAGTATTTCATGTTTTTAATAATGATTGTTCGTAGTATTTTGGGGAAGTCAATTTGTAATTTTAGTGTTTTCAATCTTCTTACTGTTTCTTTATGTATTAATTTATTGGTAATATTACAGGTATTATTTCTACATAAATTAGTTCTCTATTTTGTATTAATTTCTCTTGTATTTCTTTGTATTTATTTATTTTGTAAATATAATTTAATTCATTATTTCTATCTTGACATATATCAACATCATTAATATATCATTTTTTATCTTTTATGTTTTGGTAATATATATCTGGTATTCTAACATTAAAAGAATGGTCAAACCAATAAATCTTTATTGTAATTTATAACCATTTCATCATTATTAATACATTTATGAGGAGCATTGAAATCATTAAATAAAATAAAATATAAAATTTAATTAAACCTCGTTCTAAAAATAACAATTATTATAGAAAATAATAATTATTCATCTAAAATTATAAAAAGGGTAATTTAAACATAGAACTTGATTGACTCATTGAAAATTAAGTAATGATACATTCTTTAAAACTTTATCATTTAATCATCGCTCTTAAAACAGTATAAACTTCAATGCAGTTATTAGTTCGATAAATTTCATCGATTTTTTCTGTAAACAAAGAAAAAGTTAAATGATATGTTTATAAGAATAGCAAAATAAGAATGTCTCTTTGAGACAAAATTAAATAAATTAATTTCATAATGGAATAATGCTAAAGTTTTTAAGTTAAAGTATTACCATTAATAATTTGATTTATTGAATAGTTGATGAAGATAAAAACTTAATAATTCAATGATGGAGAATTAAAAATGCTAAAGTGATATTATTAGAACTAAAAAGAGAAAAAAGATATAAATAGAAAGGACTCTTCATTTTTTTTTTAGTTTTTTAACTAAGAAAACGAAAAAAGATTTAATCTCATTATGAATCTTATAATTCATCATTTCTAAATGGCTCGAACTAAGGGTAACAACACCGAAAGACCAACCACTTCTAAGCAACCAAGAAAATATTATGCTCCAAAGTCGGCGTCTAAAAAGGCTGCAGTCTCCTCTAAGAAGGCTGTTGCTGGTGTTTCACAAAAAAAGCCAGTTGCTAGACACTCTCATCCTGGGATCAAGGCTTTACAAGAAATTAAATTTTATCAACGTTCAACAGAACTTTTATTAAGAAAATTACCGTTCCAACATTTGGTTAGAGAAATTGCTCAACAATCAAAGTCTGATCTTAGATTCCAATCTGCTGCTATTGCTGCTCTTCAAGAAGCTGCTGAGGCTTATCTTGTTGGTCTTTTTGAAGACACTAATTTATGTTCACTTCATGCTAAAAGAGTCACTATTATGCCAAAAGACATGCAGCTTGCAAGAAGAATTAGAGGTGAAAGACAATAAGCCTTGTGTTATTTTTAATTGTTGGAAAAGAGGGTTTTTTGAATTGGTTTAAGAGAAACTATTTTATTATAGTAAAAGTACAACTCACTGGAAGAGTAATGAAATGCCTAATACAAGTAAATTTTTGTATTTCTTTTGAAGAGTTTTAAAAAATACTAAATAACAAAAATTCAATAAAAAAACATTAAATTAAAGGAAAAATGAAAACTTATGAATACAATAAAAAATAAAGAGTTTTGTTAAGAAAAGTAGATTCCTCATTTGAACTAGTTAATTTAAATGAACTTTTTATTTGCGAATAAACTTGCTTTTTATATTGTTGATAGAACTCATTCAGGAAGAGTTAGTTGTGATGAAGTAATGAATGTTATGGTTCCATTAGTTGGTTCAACTGATCCTACAACTATAGATTGTATGAGATTCTTTTTTTCGTTATGTGATGTAGATAATGATAATTCATTGAACGAAAAAGAATTTGAACATTTTATGTGGTGTTATAATAAGTGCTGTGAGCCTAGATTTGTTAAAATTAAAGCTGATTTAGTTATTGTATTATTTATTGAAATATTTAGAGCTATTGACAGTGATATGAATGGGACTGTATCTTGTAGTGAGATAGCCCATACTCTATCTAAACTAGAAGAGTCGAATGTTACAATTTTTGGATATAAAGATATGTTTGAAGACATTAGAGATTATGCTATTACTAAAGGCCCTCAAACAGAATTGACTGAATTTGAGTTTTTATGTATTGCTATAAAACCTGAAATTCTCTTTCTTCATCTTGAAGCTAAGTATAGTGCTTTATTTAAAAAACTTGATAGTGGTCAATTTGGATATATTAACTCAAAGGATCTTGTTTCTCATATTGCTCGATTCATGTTTCCACGAGGTTGTGAGACAAAGAATGCTCTTGATCTTGTTATCAGTATTATTACATCAACTACTCAATCTGAGAAAATAAGACTAAAACAATTTGGGTTTCTTGTTGAGTTATTAAAAGATGTTAGTCGTTCTGCAACATACTTTACTAATCCAATGTTATATGAAGCATTGTTTAGGCTTATTGATAATAACTCAAATGGAGAGTTAGATGGAGAAGAGTTAATATTATTAATTGAGACAATCAAATTGTCTTCAAAGAAGAAAGAAATTGTTATGAAAGCTATTAAAGCGAAAGCAACAATTACCTATTCCCAATTCATTGATATTATGCATAACTAATATAAGTATCTCAACAAAAATAAATTTTAGTTAAATTATTTTTGATTAAACATTGCAATTTTTTCTTGTACAGTCATATTTGATAATCTTTTTGGTTGGGTTTGTTGGTATTGAGTATAGTTAGGGAGCGGTTTTGGTATTGAAACGAATGAATATTTTTTTGTATATTGAATTTTTAATTCTTTTTTACTTGGAGAAGATTCACTATTAGGTAGTTGTTCAAATTTTTTTATTTTGTCTTTAAGAGATATCTTTGGTGTTATTGTTATATGCTCATCTTTTGAAACAATTTTAATTGGAATGAATTTTTGAGAAGGAGTTTTTTTATCTGTTTCAGTTTGTATTTTTTCATTTTTTTGATGTTCTTTATTAATTTCATTATTTATTTTTGTTTCTAATAAAATTCTTTGTTTATTCAATTCTTCCATAACTGTTTTTAGTTCATTATCTTTTTTAACAAGGTCTTCTTTTAATTGTAAAATTTCTTCTTGTTTTTTATTTATACTTTCTTTTAATATATTTAAATGTTGTTCTTTTTCTTGTATTTGTAAGTTTATTTCTTCAATTAAAACTTGTAACGTAGTATCATTTTGTTCTTCTTCAATCTTTTCATTTAATTTATTTTCTAACTCTCCTATCTGCATATCTTTTATTTCAATTTCTCTTAATTTTGTTTCTAGTTCAATTTCTTTTTCTATTAATTCCTTTTCTTTATTATCAAGAGTTAATAATTTTTTTTTCAACTCTTCATTAAGTTCATTTATTTGTTTATTATATAAATTACATTGATTTTCTAACTCTTGGATTCTTATGTTTAAATTTTTAATGTTTAAGTTATTTTCATTATTATTATCTAGTTCATATTCTACTTTTTCTTCTTTATTTTGTATTTGATTATTTAGTTTTACTATTTCTATTTCTTTTTCTTCAATACTTTTTTGTAATTGAAAAATTTGATTGTTAAGTGATTTAATAGTATTCATTTTAAGTGTTTCATTGTCTCTTGTTTTAAATTCTTTTTGATTTCCATGTTTATCAAAACAATAATTTTGATATCGTTTGATTATTTCTTCTTGTTCTTTTAATTTTTGTTCCATATCATAATTATTATCTAAAGCAATATAAATTTCTTCTTCTAATTCTTTTATCTTTTGTTCTTTCTCTTCAATAATTTCTTCATATTGACTTCTGTCTTTTTCAATTTCAATAATATAGTCTTTCAAATCAATACTAAACTCTTCATGAAATACTTTATAAATACATGCAAATTGACTTTCTTTTAAACTTGTTTCTTCCATGTGTGTTTGTATATAATATCCACATCCTTCATCTTCATTGTTTTGTTTAATCGCATTGAGCATTAATTCAAATTCATTAATAAGTAATTTAGGAGCCATTTCTTTAATTTTTTGAATTAAACTTTCATTGCAATGTTGAAAAATTGTTTTTAAGTGAATTAGATTATTTTCATTAATATTATATTTTTGTTGAACTAAATCTCTTACACATTCATTACTCGTTTTTGTTAAACAATAAAACTCTCCAGAGGCCTTAGAAGTTACGTTAGTTACTTGTAATAATAATTTTAATAAAGCTAAATTCTGTTGTCTTAACTCTCTATCCATAAATTCCTTCCTTTTTTGAGTTCAATCGTTACTTCTATTAAGACAAGATGGATTTTCAAAAATATAAAATCTCATAAATTGTTTTATGTATTAAAAAAATATTTGTTATTTATAACAAATATAAATTTTTGTGACAAATAAAAACTTATTATTGACAAAAGTTAATAAAAAAAACAAAAATAATAAAACCAAAAATAACAAATAATTATTTTCAAAAAGGGAAAAACGTCATTAATTTTCCATTTTAAAAACCTTAAAATGGTAAATAAAAAGAAAAAAGAAGGAATGATAATTCTCACGAGACTAATCACAAAAATTAAAAAAGTAGCAAAGTTCAAGCAAAAGGAATGAGCTATTATCACTTCATCTTGAAATATACATACTATGGGACTTATCTCAAAGACGTTCTTTAAAATATTTCCTTGTTTAAAACCAAAAGATGTTAGAAAAATTCCATTACCATTAATTTATCTATATGATGACAAAAAGAATAAAAAATTCCCTGGGAATAAAGTATCAACCACAAAATACTCAATCATTTCTTTTCTTCCTCTTTTCTTATATAATCAATTTAAACACGTAACTAATATTTATTTTTTACTCGTTGCTATTATTTCACTCATACCTCAAATAAGTGCTACCAATCCAATTACTAATGTTCTTCCTCTTGTTTTTGTTTTATGTGTATCAGGTATTAAAGAAATAATTGAAGATATTAGGAGGTGGATTGCTGATCGTGGATTCAATAACGCTAAATATACTAGAGTAAATGTATCTGATGGTAACCTTACAAGTATTACTTCAGCTGAGGTAAGAACTGGTTATGTTCTTGAATTAAAAACAAATGATAGAATTCCAGCTGATTGTATTCCATTGAGTTCATCAAACGATGATGGTATTGTTTTTGTACAAACAGCTGCTTTAGATGGTGAAACTAACCTAAAAGAGGTTTTTGTCCCAAAAGATTTAAACAGTATTGATACATTAAAAATGATAGGTACAATGCATTGTAATCCACCAAATGAATATTTTAATCAATACAATGCAACAATTAAACTAGAAGATGGAAATGGTTCAACAAAAGATATTCCTGTCTCTGCCGCTAATCTATTAATTGGTGGAGCAGTAATTAAAGATACAGAGAAATGTACTGCCTTAGTTTGTCATTGTGGAAAACATTCTAAATTAGCACTAAACCAACCATCATTAAGAACTAAATTTGCACATACTGATGCAAGAATGAATCAATTTGTATTCGGGATTTTTTGTTTTAAAATAGTTATTGTCATTGTTGCTACTATTGCAGGGTCTTTATTCCTTGTACATACTGGAAGAGATTCATGGTATTTAGACATTGAAGAGATTAGTGTTGGAAAAAATACTGTTCAAACATTTTTTAGATATTTTGGGTTGTTGTCTTACTTAATTCCAATTTCATGTGCTGTTTCCCTTGAAGTTGCTAAATTCATTCAAACAATGTTAATGGAATGTGACACTGATTTTAATATTTATAGTGTTGATGAAGATGGAAAACTTATTACAGAAAAAATGGCTGCAAAAACATCTATATTAAATGATGAATTAGCACTTGTTGAATATGTGTTATCTGATAAAACTGGTACATTAACTGAGAATTCAATGATGTTTAAAATGGCATCTGTTGATGGTGAGGTTATTGAAGGGAAAAAGTTAGAAGAAAATTTTAAATTATATTGGAATATTGACAATGAGAAAAATGGAATGGAAGTTATGGATAAAAGAAATGAAGATATCAACTACGTCAGTGATACAAAAATTACTATGAAAGAAGGAGTTGATAAAGTAAAAGCTCAAGCTATTAAAGATTATTTACTTGCTCTTGCTATTTGCAATGAGGCAAGACCTAAGAAAGAAGGAAACAAAATAAATTATCAGTCTCAATCACCAGATGAAGTTGCGTTATGCCAACAAGCTGTTGACAGTAATGTTTTATTCTTTAAAAGAACACAAACAATGATCTACGTATCATTCTTTGGTGAAATATTAGAATTTAAGGTTTTGGCAATCTTCTCATTTAATTCAGACAGAAAAAGACAAAGTGTTATTGTTCAAACTCATGATGGTCAAATTGTTATGTATACTAAAGGTGCTGATTCAATTATTGCTGCTAGGACAATTCATGAAGATAAATTTGAAGTAACAAATAAACAATTACAAGACTTCAGTGTTGTTGGTTTAAGAACATTACTAGTTACAAAAAAAGAAATAAGCCAAGAACAATATAATGAATGGAGAAAAAAATATGATGAGGCTGATAGTAGTGTTGCAGGTCATGATGAAAATGTTGCTTTAGTTCAAAATGAAATGGAGGTTGATTTAAAATTAATTGGAGCAACTGCTATTGAAGATAAATTACAAGATGGTGTTCCAGAAACAATTGAATTTCTTATTAGAGGAGGAATTAAAGTATGGATGATTACAGGAGATAAAGTTGAAACTGCGATTAATATTGGATTATCATGTAACTTATTAACCAAAGAAACTTTTATTTGTAAATTAAGAAATGCTCCTGATGAAGTTGAAAGTAAAGAAGAATTTACTACTAAAAAGTTAGTTGAAATGGATGAAGAAATAGATAAAGAAATTGAGAGATGTAAATCAGAAGGTAAGACATATAATATTGGGTGTGTATTTGAAGCAGGTGCTTTACAAATTGTTATGGACCATGCAAAAGAATTATTTAGACAAGTTATTTTGAAAGCTTCTGTTGTTATTTGTAGTAGAGTTACACCAAAACAAAAAGCTATGATTGCTAAAACTGTCAAAGAAGCAACTAAAAAAGTTGTATTAACAATTGGAGATGGTGCAAATGATGTTGCAATGATTAATGAAGGAGATATTGGTGTTGGATTATTTGGTAAAGAAGGAACTCAAGCAGCAAGAGCATCTGATTATGCATTAAGAAAGTTTAGGCATGTAGCAAAATTGATTATGTTTCATGGGAGAAATTCACTTTTAAGAAATGTCACATTAATTAAGATGTGTTTCTACAAAAATGCATCATTCTTTTTAATATTGTTTTGGTATTCATTCTTCAATGGACAAAGTGGAATGTCAATGTATGATGACTATACCATGACTTTCTTTAATATTTTCATTACATCATTACCACCAGTTTTTATTGCTTGTTTAGATAAAGACCTTTCTTATCAAGTTATTAAAGATAATCCAGAAGTTCATCGTGGTATTTTAAGAGGAAGCAGAATGAGTTTAGCTAGTTTCCTTGATTGGTTAGGACAAGGAATATGGCAATCTTTATTATTAACTTTTGTATTTCATTTTATGTTAGATGATGTAGATGTTTATAGTTCAAATGGAAAAGCAGGTGGATGGGCAGTTGTATCAATGTATTTAACATTTAGTGGATTTTTTATGGTATTTTTCACATTATGTACTCAAGTAAAAACATGGAATTTATGGACATTAGCATCATTTATAATATCGTTAGTTTTATTCTTTATTTTTATGTTATTAATTGTTTATTGTCCAGGTATTTCTATTAGGGATCTTTCTAATGATGTTTTTAGTATTGTATTTAGACAACCATATTTTTATCTTGTGACACTATTTACAGTGATAGTAGGAATAGTTCCAAACATATTACGATTGTTTTGTTTAAGATTCTTAGTTCCAGGATATTATATGGTTCTTCAAGAAATTTATAGTGATAAAAAGTTTGAGAATTATGGAAAGAAACGTAAAATTGTTATTGAAGGAACTGAAGAAGCACACACTTATTATCATGAGTTGTGTCTTTCTCAACCATTGTTTAATAAATTACCAAAAGATCAAAGAGAGATGAATGAAATAACAAGTGAAGTTAATGCCAATGATTTTGAAGATTAAAATTCATAAAAGTTTCTTTTTTATATTTTTATATTTTTTTAATACTCATTTAATTACTTTGTCTATAAGTC